CGTCTGGGGGAGATGCTGGTGATTAGGCCTCCACAGGCAGAGGGGGCGGCCACTCAGAACCCCTGCAGTGGGGGTGAGGGGTGGGGGGAAGCAGCAGACCTGAGTGGGGTGCCCAAAGGTGGTGAGGCCAGTGCGCCCAGGTCCAGCCCCTGGGGCTGCTGGTCACCTTGCTCCTCCATTGTCTGCTCAAGCTGTGGAGCTCGATGTTCATGGAGGTTCAAGGTCGGACCCTCTGGAAGCCCCAGGCCTTATCGGGAGTATATCTTAGGTGGAATCCTTAGGGAAGCACACCCAGGGAGGAGGGAGGCGGGGAGGAGGCAGGAAGCAGGAGGCGAAGAGGCTGAGGTGGATGTGCTGGTTCTGTGCTGAGGTCAGGTTCAAGGCTGTGCTCTGGCAACACTACCTGGTGGCCTTCTTGGAGACCAGGGTTTACCGACTCCTCTTTGTCTTGTACCACTCACCCGTCTTGATTGCTGGCCCATTTCCCCTGCCCCTGCACTGGGTGGCTGAGGCAGGAGGAGGGAAAGGAACTAGGGGAGGAATCAGATACCTTTGTGAGCCCCCAGGATGTAGTGTGGAGGTGCCCACTTTGAGAGGGGGCTGTGGGCTCACGGATGTGTGGAGGCTGATACTGGAAAGGTCTTGTGGACAAAAAGGGGCCACATGCTAACCTGATTAACTCAGGGAAGGCCTACATGGCGGCCTTGCAAAGTCAGAGACCTAAGGTAACCACAAAATATGGTCTAAAATTAAACTTTTTAATTAAAAAGCAGTTTATGGTGGGTAGTCATGTCTTAGGCCAGTATCTTCCTTGACAAAGATCAGCTTCGATCTTTACTGAGCCTGTTGTCTTTTTGCATCTCAGATAACATACCTTTGGAATGTCAGGGTAACTTGTAACTTCCCTTTCTCTGGTCCCCTCAGGGCACAATAAATGGCAGGGAGCAGCCCACAGATTTCCTCATTGTTATTGTTATCTTAATTATTGTTGTGGGTTTTTTCCCCCCAAACATTTGTATTGATTTCAGAGAGGAAGGGAGAGGGAGAGCTAGAAACATCAATGATGAGAGAGAATCATTGATTGGCTGCCTCCTGGGGATCGAGCCCACAACCCCGGGCATGTGCCCTTGACTGGAATCGAACCCGGGACCCTTCAGTCCACAGGCCGACGCTGCTCTATCCAAGCCAAACCGGCCAGGGCTATTAATTGTTGACTGTTAACTATCCTGCACCCACCTAAGAAAAAATAAGTATGTGCCTATCATTTTACTTTTTATCCAATCCCAGAGGTTTCCCCACTTTGCTTTTTCTTGCCTCCCTAATCTATCACCAGTGGAGTTCATGCAACCCACTTATGGCTCCTTTTGATGGTAATGTTTTATAAAACAAGGTGAAAAAACCACCATTCTCGGAGCATTATCTCAATACATTGAGGTTCTGCTTTCCGGCAACTGTCGACAGCATGGCTCAAATACTAGTAAACTCACAAAAAGTCTTTACAGGTTTGACCGCTCTTACGCTGACAGTCCCCAAAACCTAACACTGGCTTGGGGCTGAGTGCTCTGCCGGCAGAGGTTCCTTGGAAGCACGATCATTCATTCATTCATTCATTCATTCATTCATTTGACCGCAGCAGTACTAAGGGCCAGTCTACTATGGGCCAGGCATTGTGCTAAGCATTTTATATACAACACTTACTCTAAGAAGCCGTGGCATAAAGAGGTTACGTCTCAAGTGCTCCCTGGCTCCTACTTAGAGCAGTATGGGATTGGGGTCCTCACTTCTCCCGCCACCTCGATTATGATGGCAACGTCCATTACAGATGTTGCACGTGGCCGTGTGCCAGGCATTGCCTTTGCCTGTATGGTATTGCTTCTTCCTCACAGCCACACTGTGGGTATATATTACCAGTCCCGCCTGGAGACAGAGTGGTGGGCTGAGAGAGGAAGTGGGCGTACTACTCGCATGTCTCAGAGCCTCCGCGTCACTCTGTCCTTGAGACTTCATCCAGCCTGGCTCCCACTGGAGCCTTCTCCTCTGTGGTCGTTCCTCTAGCCCAGTGCTGGCGAACCTATGACACGCGTGTCAGAGGTGACACGCGAACTCATTTTTTTGGTTGATTTTTCTTTGTTAAATGGCATTTAAATATATAAAATAAATATCAAAAATATAAGTCTTTGTTTTACTATGGTTGCAAAGATCAAAAAATTTCTATATGTGACACAGCACCAGAGTTAAGTTAGGGTTTTTCAAAATGCTGACACGCCGAGCTCAAAAGATTCGCCATCACTGCTCTAGCCCCACAGGGGGCGCCGCAGGGGCTGGCGGAACATTCACCCTCGGGCTCGGGGGCTCTGGAGGAGATGTGGGGGCTGAGTGGCTCAGGAGTTCTGCAAAGCTTTTGGTCATCAGCCGGGAAGGGCAGGCACGTTGGCTTGGCCAGATAGGTAGGTTTCCCTGGCCAGTTCTGGTCCTTTCAGGCAGTCCGCTGCTTGTGGGGCCTGGACCCCTGACTCGGCTTCGGCACCTGCCGGGAGATTCCAGGATGATTGGGAACAGTGACAGGGCGACCTGCACGGGGTTGAGAGGGTAGAGAGGGAGACCTACAGGGGGCAGATGGAGAAGGAAGAGGGCGACATGCCCACGCTGGGGTGGAGGTGGGGGGAGCTTCCCCAAAGTGTGGTGGGGAGGGATCAGGGAGCCTGCTTTATTTCTGCTTTTGGCAAACATCACATTCGATCCTCCTAATAATTTTTCAAGATGGTTATTATTTGGCTGGTTTTGGAGTTGGATAAGTGGACACTTCCCATGTTCATTCACACAGGGAGCCTGTGGTGACAACAAAGCCCATTGTCTGTTAGCCTCGCCAGGACGCCTCCCAGCCGTGCGGGAGGGTCACACCTGCCCAGAGCCAGGACGGCCTGCTGCCGGGCGGGACCTCTGGGGAGGGAGACAGAGACAGCCTTCTCTGCTTTAGGTCTCTCTCCCTCCTTCCTTCCCTGAACACACATTCTGCCCCAGATTCTTGAACTGTGTGTTACCTTCTAATCGCTAAGTAGGTGTTGGAACCTTCATTTCCACACAGAGAAGCCAGGGTTTGAGAGGCGAGGCTTCTCCGTAAGTTCCCACAGTGGCCCTGGTTTCTTCGGACTAATTCTTCCTTGGCTGTGACTCAGGTTGAAAACAACTCGAATCCTGTACCCGGTGACAGTGGCAGATCTGCCTGCTGGACCGGGCCCTGTCCCCTGGGTGGAGGGAGAGTGGGGCCAGGGCATCGGTGAGGCCGGGGCTCAGCCACCTCTGCTGGCCTGGGTGGGGCGGGAGTGAGTGGCGAGCCCCCACTCAGCAGTGAGTCTGAGTGAGTGCTCGCTCTACCGTGGCATGCTTTTATTTATTTATTTTTTAAAAATACGTGTTTTTATTGATTTCAGAGAGGAAGGGAGAGGGAGAGATAGAAACATCAGTGAGAGAGAGTCATTGATCTGCTGCCTCCTGCACACCCCACACTAGGGATGGAGCCGCAACCCGGGCATGTGCCCTGACCGGGAATCGAACCGTGACCTCCTGGTTCATAGGTCGATGCTCAGCCACTGAGCCACGCCGGCCGGGCTGTTTATTTTTTTGCCTCCCTTCCTTTGGTCAGTATTCAGAGCTATCCCAAAATATTGCTATCCCAGAAGAAGCAATACCATACAGGCAATATTCAGCCCAGAGCAGGGAGGCCTTTGACCAGGCCAGTCAGGCCCAGCTGCATCGTTTCTGCGGTGCCAGCCCTGCCTGGGACACAGCGTCAGGTCCCGAAGGCAGGAAGGCCCCAGAGAAGGGACCCCTGGGGACCTGTTTACCTCTTCTCTGTTTTACCCAGGCTGGGAGGGCGTACATCTCCCTGGGAACCGCCGTGGCACTGTTGGAAGGCCCCTCTGTCCCTTCTTTCTTTTCCTTGGCTCTCCCTCTGGGCTGGGAGCAGGCTCGGGTGCCGCGGAGGCCTGACAACCGGATGGGGCTGTGGATGGGAACATCACAGCTCCTGCCTCTCCCACCTCCTCCAGTCCTGCATGCCCTTGGGGGCGGGCAGGGTCAGCTACAAAGAAGCTCTGTCTGGAGCTGGGTTCTGCACCAGAGGTGGGGGTGGTGGTGAGGGTGCCTCCTCTTGCAGGCGCTGGGCATTCAGGGAGCCTCCGTTGGCTGGTGTTGGTGGCTCTGCCACCTTGGCCAGCCCAGAGCAGTCCGGGGACCGGGAAGTGTTGGCTGTGGCCCCCTCCTGAGCTGGCCTAACCAGGTGGGCGCCTGCCCTGGGCCCACAGAGGCTGGGCAAGGTGAGGGGCCTCTCAGGAAAGCTTTGTCTCAGCCAGCCCAGCCCCCAGCTCCCAGTAAACATCGGAGATAGGATCGGGCGGAGCCAGGAAGGGTGGCAGGGTGCGGCCTGGGAGAAGAATGGCAGGATGTGGCACCGGGGCACCGTTCTGGGCACCCACGCCTCGGGCTATTGTTCAGGGCTGCCTGAGGCTCTCAACTCTCTGGAGCTTTGAGAGGAAGTGCCATTCCCCTGGGACTCCGGCCCTGCCCCACCCCTGCGGCATGGCCCTCTCCCGGGCAATGCCTTTGGCACCACCCACTCAGGGCCAGCCTGGGACTGGGAGCCTGCCTAAGAGGGACTTGGTGTGTGCCTGGGGGTAGGAGGGTCTGCCTGTCTGTCTGTCTGTCCAGGCTGTCTTCCTGTCCCCGGGGTCTGAGTCACCCGTCATGCTTCGATGACTGGAATTTATCTCTGTCTTTATCTGCATCTAGATTTGGAGGTGGGGGGGTGGGGGCCGTCGTTGTGGAGGGAGGGCTGAGTGAAAACTCCTTTGATTCCAGTCCAGCTGGGCTGCTCGTTGGCTGATTGGGAGAGGAAGTGGCTGGTGATTTGTTTTGGGTAGAAGGGGCTCAGTGTGCGCGTCTGTGGGTGGGTGGGCCGGGCGCCGGTTGGTTGTGGGGAGGAGAAAAGGAGTCGGCACCTGTAGTGCTCTGAGCCACGGGTCCTCTGTGGAGGGCAGGTGCTTCTGTGCCTCGTCCTGGGCACTGGATTGGGGCCCCAGCTGAGACTCAAGGTTCTACAGCATCAAGGGTGAGGATGGCTGGAGCCTCTCCCCTTGGGGGCCTTTACCTGTGATGCTCAGGTGAGAGAAGGCCAAGGAGAAGGAGGCAGCAGAGGGGGGGCCTGGGGCGGGTTCCTGCAGAGGGAAGGGAGGGTAGAGCAGGGATGCTGTTCATGTCCCTGCTGGTTAGGCTTCTCTGACTCTCGAGTTCTGAAGCAGCACTGCCCCCAAAGCCGTGTGGACTTGACCTCCCCAGGCCTCGGTTTCTCCATTTATAAAATATGGAGTAAGTCTGGGCCAGAGGGAGGTCAGGTCCACGGGAGCACTTCCTCCAGAGTGGGTGGCCGCTGACCAGGACCCGGTGGGACCTGGGGGAGCCCAGTAACTCGCATCTCCTGTGGGCCGAGTCCTTTGGCTCCTGGGTGGCTGGGGCGAGGGGTGTGTGGCTGCTGAGCTTAAAACCTCCTGTGGAACCACGTGGATGGTTGCAGCGTGGAGCACGCTTGGTAAGAAAGGGGTGAAGGAATTTGAGGGGGTTTTTAAGTCTCTGTAGGGAAGACTCCCACAGAGTTTTAAAATCTGAAAGTTACGGGCAATGTTTTCACCTGTCCCAAGGTAAAAACCAAAGGAAATGGACTTGCTTTGCTGCTGGGAGATTTAGGTCACCCACAGGAAGATCTTAGATGCGAGGAAAAGGCAGCTGAGGATAACCGTGTGGGAGGTGGGGCTGTGGGAGGGAAGCCGCCCAGAGCAGCATCTGTCTAGTAATGAGGGTAATTGTAGCTGTCACTTGTGATGCATCCAGGTCTGCCTTGCGTTATGCTGCTGAGCTATATTCTACTTTCTGATCGTTGCACGAATATTTATTGAGCACCTACTCTCTGCTCCAGACACTGTGCTAGATTCTGGGGCCACAGGGATGAGCAAAAACAGTACCCTGAGTGGGGTTGAGTGGTTCTCGGGCCACTGGGTGAGTCACAAATAAATTAAGCATGTGAAGGTGTCATTACCAGCTATGATAAGTACTTTGAACACCAAGTTCAGGGTGCCATGAGAATGTGAAAACGGGCATATATTGCAGGGTCTGGAGTGTTAGTGGAAGGCTCATCTCTTCATAGTGGGTTTTTAAATTTCCATCGTACTGAGGAGGAAACCGGTTCAGAGAAGTTAAGGCACTTGCTCAAAGTTGCACAGCAATTAATTGGGCTGAATTGGGTTTCAAATGCACTCGGGTCTGCGAGACCCCACAGGCTTTTCTCTCAGCCACTGGACTCTAGGTCAGTGATGGCGAACCTATGACACGCGTGTCAGAGGTGACACGCGAACTCATTTTTTTGGTTGATTTTTCTTTGTTAAATGGCATTTAAATATATAAAATAAATATCAAAAATATGTCTTTGTTTTACTATGATTGCAAATATCAAAAAATTTCTATATGTGACACGGCACCAGAGTTAAGTTAGGGTTTTTCAAAATGCTGACACGCTGAGCTCAAAAGGTTCGCCATCACTGCTCTAGGAGCATCCTGGGCTATGCAACAACGTGATGGTGCTTACCCTGTATTATTCCATCTTCATAGACTCCTGTGCGGTCTGGTCTGGGTTCTTTTTATTGTTAATCCTCACCCGAGGATATTTTTCCATTGGTTTTTAGAGAAAGTGGAAGAGAGAGGGAAACACAGGGAGAAACATCGAAACATCGATGGGAAAGAAACAACATCGATTTTGGTTGCCTCCACACGCCCTGACCAGGGCCCAGGCTGGGAGGAGCCTGCAACGGAGATATGTGCTTTGACCGGAATTGAACCCCGGGACCCATCAGTCACTCTATCCACTGAGCCAAACCGGCTAGGGCCTGTCTGCGTCTTATACCCAATATATGGTTGAGGAGGCAGAGGTTCAGAGGTGAATTAACTTGCCTACGGTCACACAAGTCAGCTGGTCGTAGGGCAGGAATTTGAACCCAGGTCGTTAAACCCAAAGCCTGTGCGCTTTCCACTCTATTCCACCCCAACCCCGGGTACCCTGCTTTACAAAGACCTCAGAGGTCAAGCAACCTGTACAGCAAGCATGTCAAACTCGCAGCCCGCGGGCTGCATGCCTTGTTTATTTGGCCCGTGTTAGCCTTTGAATTTAAGATGCTTGCTGTACAGGGACTGTCAGCTGCAGTGACAGCAGGGCTGTGTCAGTTCCGTACCCTGCATCTGGTTGTCCCTTGATTAGTTTATCACACATGACTTTTGCTCTGCATTCGCAAAGAGCTGGGATGGTGGGGGTCCAGAACCTGGTACCCACGTTCCTTGGAGAGACTTTCCTTTCTGTGGGCCTCAGGCCGTGAAAGGGCAGGAAGGCTCTTCTTGAGCAGCTGTGCTCAGGGGGCAGAGGAAGGAAAAGAGGGGTCCAAGGACCTTCTTCCCCAAAGCTGAGACCCGGGAGGTGCCTCCCAGAGGACCCGTGGGGCCGCACTGTTGCTGCTCCATCAGCCCTCGGGCGCAGGGAGGGCCGGCCGAGAGCCAGTGCCCAGCGTCGGACGCGAGTCCGAGCCCGTGGGAGTAAAGGGCCATTGTCTGGGCAGCAGGCTCTGGCAGGGTTATTCGGTGGGCACCCCGGCCTGGTGAACAGACGGACGCCTCCCAGCCAGCTTGGCTGGTCACCAGAAGCCATTTTCTTTGTTACCAGACGCTGGGCCAGAGGCCAGGCTGAGCCAGGGCGAGCTCCAGGAGACGGGCTCCCAGGAGATAGGTCATCACAGAGCCCACGGAGGACTCTGGGGGCGAGGTGTGGGCGGGAAAGGCCATCGAGAGGAGGGACGTGTCCGAGGGCAGCAGTGCCCACGGGAATAGAGTGTGAGCCACACGGGTCACTACCTTTTCTAGTGTAGCCTGACGGAGGAGCAGGTGGGTGAACCTTCACCGGTGTCTTACTTAACCCGACGTTTACAAATTAGTGTCAATGCAACAGAACCAGCTCTTTTCAAGCTACTTTACGTTCTGATGCTTGAAAGCCCAGGTGTATTTCACACTGAGCCCGTTGCCACTGGGACCGGGCAGTTGTACGTTCTCAGTAGCTTCGCGGGCCAGCGGCTGGGCTCATTCAGACGGAGAATGCCCTCCTCTGCCTCCCCTCCAGCTGGGGACAGACCGACGGTCAGCAGCTGGCTCTGGGGAGGCGGCAGCCCAGTTCCACCCAGGCCTGGAGGCCCCGGACCCGCTCGCCGAACCACGCGTTGCTGTGTGGGTTCTCGGCTGGGCTGCTGTGGGAAGAAAGGCTGGGCGGAGGGAGCCGGAAGGCCACGAGGTTGGGACCGAATGGAGGAGAAAGGCCCTTCGGACCCAAGTCCAGAGAAGGAGGCAACCCGGTGGCCTGCCCTGCCCTGCCCGGGCCAAGACCGGCAGAGCAGTGGGTGTGGGCCGAGGTGGTGCGGCCAGCGGGCGGGATCAGAGCCCACAGGCCCGCATTGTTCGCCTGTCACACTTCCTTTGGCTTTATTGCCTTTGTCCAACACCCTATTGTCTGGTTTCCTTTTGTCCCCCTTTCAGCGCCGCTGCCTTTTATTTCCCAGCCTGCCTGGTTGTTTTCATTTCTTTTGTCTGAAGTTCCTGAGAGGAAGGTTTTATTTTCAGCGGTTTGATTAATTCACAGCTTGAGCCGGGGTTTGTTTGTTATGTAATTGCTGCCCTCAGCTTCAGGATAATACCCCCCCCTCGCCCCCACCCCAACCGGCCGCCCGCTTGGACCTGGCTCTGCACCCCTCCCTGTGCCCGGATGGGCTGAGCCGCCCACTTCCTGGATGCTCTCCAGGTCCCCGGCTGGTGGGAGGGCACCCGGAGCTGGACCCCAAAGCCCTGGTGAGCTGGTGGTTGTGGTCTCGGCTCCTGGGCCGGCGCTCCCAGGGTCAGGCCTGCCCCTCCCTCACCCTGCAGTGTCCTGTCCTGGGTCCCGCACCAGCCCCAGGGCACCCTGCCCTCTGCAAGTGGCAGCAGAGTCTGGGCTGACCTGTAGGATGGCACCAAATCAAACACATCTTACTCAGCTGTAAGGCCTTTTCACTTATTTAGTGTGTTGTATGCGGCACATTCTGTCATGTATTACGGGTCACGAGAAACATTGAGTTGCACAGAGTTGATGCACTAGACAGATGCAGTGCACCTGCAGTTTAATTTAAGGGATGTTTTACTACATCTGATTTTTGCCTGGCACTCCCCTCCTTAAAAAATGAATGCCCACGTAAAAACAACTTTATTTAACAATGCTTCTCGAAGCGGTATGTTTCAGAACCACCTGGAGGGCTTGTTAAAACAGGTCCCCGCCCCACCCGCAGAGCCTCTGGTTCGTGAGGGACCCATGACTTGGCCCCTGAGCCTCCAGGCCCCGCTGAGGTGGTTTTCCTTGTGCTGCATCATCCCAGCTGGCCGTGGTTTAACGGGCCACGTAGGTGCTTACTGCTGCCTGGCAGTGTTCCAGACACGGTACAATAACAGTTCCCAGCCCATTTCACAGATGAGGAAACTGAGGTGTGGAGAGGATAAGTTACTCACTCAAGGTCACTCGGCAGCTAGTTGAGTGTCCAAGGCAGGACCCAGGCATTACTCGGTGGAACCTGCTGTGGGACGCCGCTGGCCTCGTCTCGGTGACTTTGGAGGGTGAGCAGGGGAGCTGTGGGGATCTGTCTGCCTCTCTGGCCCTGAGCCTGGCATGACCCCTGGCAACCCCTCCCCAGGACCCTGGGATTGCCCTGCCACTCTAGAGGTGACAGGTGGGGAGGCAGGCAGCAGTGGGAGCAGAGTGCTTAAGCCAGGGATCGCAGATGCCTGCTGGGCCAGCTCTCACGGAGACTGTAGCTACATCAAAGGACACGTTTTTCTTAAAGCCCCTCATCCACCTCTCAGCCTGCTCTTTTCCCACTTTTGGTAGATACGTGGATATACGAAATAGTTCTGTTTTATCATCTCTACTATGAGGAAAACAGAGGATAACCGTATGACACAGGGTAGCTGATCCTTGGTTTCCCTTTTCGGGAGTGGTAGAGAGTGGTGGGGAGTAAGGCAGACTGGCCTGTCCATGGGGGTACCTCGTTTCCAGCCAATTGCTGCCACAGACCGACTTCAAGAGAAGTTAAAGCCCTGACCAGTTTGGCTCAGTGGATAGAGCGTCGGCCTGGGGACTGAAGAGTCCCAGGTTCGATTCCAGTCAAGGGCATGTACCTTGGTTGCGGGCACATCCCCAGTAGGGGGCGTGCAGGAGGCAGCTGATCGATGGTTCTCTCTCATCGATGTTTCTAACTCTCTATCCCTCTCCCTTCCTCTCTGTAAAAAATCAATAAAATATATATTTAAAAAAAAAAAGAAGTTCAAATCCAGATTTTGTGCCTGTGTGGGATTGATTTTTAAATTTTGGTAACATTACAAATATGTGTACACTGGGGGCCCCCAGTGGGAGCTTCCGTCTTGTATGAGTGCCTGTGTGGGACCCGCTGGGGCGTGTATGATGCCTGTGTGGGACCCGCTGGGGCGTGTATGATGCCTGTGTGGGACCCGCTGGGGCGTGTATGATGCCTGTGTGGGACCCGCTGGGGCGTGTATGATGCCTGTGTGGGACCCGCTGGGGCGTGTATGATGCCTGTGTGGGACCCGCTGGGGGGTGTATGATGCCTGTGTGGGGCTGGGGCGGGGGGAGGAGGAGCTGCCCTGGGTCTCAGGATGCGCCTCGTTCACTCTGCCCTCCTCCCTCAGGATGTCCATGAGGAGCCCCGGCTCTGCCCAGCTGGCCCTGGATGGCGGTGGCACCATGGTGAACTGTGCCGTCAAGTCCGAGGGGAAGCAGGAGCCCTGCCACGAGGCCCCCCAGGGCTCGGCTGCCACAGCTGACCCCCAGCCCGGAGACCCAGCCCGAGCCTCCCAGGATGGTGCTGACCCCCAAGCTCTAGCCCAGGTGCCCAGCGCTTTCCCAGGGGCTCCTGGGTCAGTGTCCCCACCACATCCATGCACCACCCCTCCCCTGCCCCCAGCTCCCCAGCTGGATGGAGGGGCAGGCAGAAATGGTCATCTCTGGGGCAAGACTTAGGTGAGTGGGGAGGAGCTGCCAAGTCCCTGGGGGCCACCTGTCCGCGTGGACATGGACGCTCACCTGTGTGGCCAGTCCTTACCCCAAGGACTAGTTGGGAAGATAGGATACTTACACTCAGAGTTTAGCTTAGAGGTAATCTACCAGCCTTTTCATCTGATTTAAGAAAACCAGCCTTATAACCACAGCCAGGGTTAAGTTGCCATTAGGACAACACAATTCCTCCTCCTCAAAATGAAGGAGCTGAACTACAGGAGCAGTAAGGATTCTGGCAGCTCTGAGGAATTCTGTGATTCCATGTAAGAGATGTAAAAAGGGAATGAATATATAATTAAAAGCCAAGTGAGGAGAAAATAGGAGAGCTGTAGGGTTCTTTCTGAGCAGGGGTCCAGCCTGGGGGCGTGTGTGGGAGCAGGTTAGGAGGCTGGGTGGTGATCAGGGGAGGCTTCCTGGAGGAGTGGGGCCTGAAGCTGGATCTTAGAGGAGAAGAGTCAGAGAAGAGGAGAGAGGGGTCGGTGTCTACACATTGCGGACCAGTACTTTTATTGCTAGCTTTACCCAGTGGCCAGATAAGTTTCTGTTGAACGAGTACAAAAAACGTTTTACATAAATGTTAAAGGCACTCTACAATTAAATGCCCATTGCATTTTGAAGTTATTTATTACATGTTCTTACAAGCTAACATCTTTTTAAAGAATTCTCGTGATTGGTCACAAGCCTCAGAACAGAAAACACGAGAATTCTCGTGATCCATCCGCAGTGTGTTGGGTGGGGTCTTGGGGTGACCCACCTGGGTGGAGTGGTGGGTATGTGTATGCAGCTTGGGGTGACCCACCTGGGTGGAGTGGTGGGTATGTGTATGCAGAGGAGCAATAAGCTGGCTTTTGGCCACAGGCATTGGCTCCCTTTCTTCCAGCACAATCCCGTGACGGGTGTGTTTCCATTCTCAGCAGAGGCAGAGGCAGGTTCAGAGAAGTTCAGGGACTCATGTGAGATCCAGGACCTGAGTCATAGCCTGGACTGAGCCTGGTCGCTTATCTTTAAGCCTTTTATTCTCTTTAGGAAATCAGGCAAATCAGAGCAAAGGTAGGGAAGGTGGGAGGGAGGGCCCCACAGTGTACATCTGCGGGGTGCTCGGCCCTGGCGGCAGCCTGCCCCCCTCTCCTGGAGGTGACAGTGGCATCCGGTGTGTCCTTAGGATTGCAGCTCACCAGAGAGCAACGTGTCCCCAGAACCCAAGAGACCAGGCGACTCTGAGGCTGCTTCTGGGAGCCAGGAGAAGCTGGACTTCAACCGAAACCTAAAGGAGGGTAAGCGTCTGCCTTATTGGAGATGGGCCTGGGCGGGGCGGAGTGGGGACAGTGTGGTCCTTACGCCTTTGGTGCCTTCCAGTTGTGCCGGCCATCGAGAAGCTGCTGTCCAGTGACTGGAAGGAGAGGTTTCTGGGAAGAAGCTCGGTGGAAACAAAAGATGTCAAAGGTGAAGGCCCTGGGGGCGGGCAGGACAGGGGAGGGATGGCTGAACCCCTGCCCCTTCTCCCAGCCTGACCACGCAGTCTAGGCCTACAGGGCAATTCTCGGGGCTCTCTGCTCTCAGAGCTGGCCTGTGCCGCCGGACTCCTGCCTGCCTTCCGGTCAAGCATGAGTTCTGCTCACTCACCCCCGGGCGGGAGAGGCCTGGCGGGAAGGGAGTCTCCTGGATATGGGTTCCGGCTCTTAGCAGGGACCCTTGTGACCTTGGCACGTCGTTGCCACTTCCCAGGTCTAACTATAAACTGACCTGAACATTCCTTTTCACTTTTGAAAATGATTTCTAGGTCACAGGACCCCACTGAGTGACCTAAAGGGTGCTGAGTGGTTCATTGGAGATCATTTTCCCCATGCGGTTGATCGCACACAGGGCGCTTTATTTATTTGCAGGAGAAAATAACCAAATTTAATACATACATATGTATGGGGACCCCACCTACAGGAGAGAGTCAGGGACCCCACTAGCAGGAGAGGTTCAGAGATAGAAAGGGGGAGTGAGGTTATAAGACACTGAGCCAGGGATGCGGTGAGATGCCTTGGGAGCGTCACAGGGCCACTGCAGGATGCCAAGAAGAGCAGATGTTCAGTAAATAAAATGTTTCCCTGTCATATAGGTGGGTTAAAAGGAGATTGCTGCTGATAATTTCTTATTATGGGCAAGGCCCCTCATTCAAGTTCTTTTAGGAAGTTACTAGTAAAAGGTAAAATCTTAGCCTGAGGCCAAGATTGCCTTTAGCTCAAAACCATCGCAAACCGCAGCAGCACGTGTTGGGGTGGCCAAAGTCGTATCTCATTTCAGGAGGCAGGGTGCCTGTGGGCTCCCAAAGTCATGCCCATGGTGCAAGCAACCAGGTTTTCATTAAGAGGCAGCTATGGAAACAAAAGAAAAACCAAGGTTAATGATTGAAGCAGACTGTAATCTCGGTTTCTGAGTTCTGAAGGCAGGCAGTTAAGATTTCTAGATGTCTGGCTCGAAGCATCTTCAGATGGAGCGAAGGCAGTGAGTGGTCTGCATGTGAATGTCTGGTGATCTTCCTGCTGCCGGCACAAAGATTGTCCGGAGATGAGCTGTTGGGGTGACTTCTCTGAGGTCTACATTAAGTTGTCCCTCTTTAGCTTCTGTGGCCTTGGGAAAGGGCGATTTTTAGTGCTCAGTGATTCAAAGTCAAACGATGGGAAAGTGAAAATGTTAGTTTGAAGGGTTGCAGTCAGATATTTAAGAAAACAAAAAACTCAGGATCCAGTCCAGTTTATAGGTAGAAAATCTTAAAAACTCAAAAGACAATGAACAGCACTAGAATCTCATATCCACAAGGTCTATTATAGTTTGTATTAAAACATATTTTCTCTCTAAAATCACTCCCATCTTTACCAAAGAAAGCCACATTAAGACTTGTAAAATTAGTCTAGTTTCAGTAAATTTGGCCTGATTATTTGTATAAGTTCAGCAAGAATAGTAATTAATCACATAGCTTCTTTTTAAAAAAAATATTTTTTTAAAATTAATTTCAGAGAGGAAGGGAAGGGGAGAGAGATAGAAACATCAATGATGATATAGAATCATTGATTGGCTGCCTCCTGCACGCCCCCTACTGGGGATCAAGCCCACAACCTAGGCATGTGCCCTTGACTGGAATCGAACCTGGGACCCCTCAGTTTGCAGGCCGAAGCTCCATCCATTGAGCCATACCAGCCAGGGCGCCACTAGTTGTCTTGACCTTGCCTGCTGACGGGGGTGGTAGGGTCAGGGCTAATTCCAAGACGTTTTTCGCAAGGCCGTCCGTCGAGGTTCGTATGTCTTGCTCGGTGAAGCGGGCGTCTTCGTCACAGAGGACACTTTAAAGCAATGCAGATGCCCAGGTGCTACCCCCACCTACCGAGTGAACCCCAGAGGGCGTGGGCCTGGGCATCTGTATTTTCCAGAGACTCTGAGTAATTCCGAGGCACGGGGCCTTGGGCTGGCGCTTCTGCGTCTGCGTTGGCTAAGTTGGAGGGCAGGGAAGCACTAGCAGGTGTCGGTGGCCAGATCCTGGACTAAAAGTTTTGCATTCCTTGTCCTTCAACCCCGTGTGCTCACTTGTAGATTAAAAAACTCAAGCGCCGAGAAGTTGGCATCTTGCCAGCAGCTCCCAGGCAGGGTGGCTGCAAAGGGGCATTTGACCCCTGGTCTGTCTTGCTCCAAAGTCCGAGCATGTCCGCTGGGCCGTTCCTGGGGGATGGTTGTGCACCCTGACCCTGTGGCCCTGGGCACTTGAGGAGGTCCAAGGGGCGGGCAGGGCCCAGAGGCCCCACTGTTGGCATTTCCGGTGGCAGCTAGTTGTCCGACAGCACAATGCGGAGCCCCGTCCAGGGCAAGGCTCCTGTGTCAGCCACCTCTGTCGCCCCTAACGGGCCTGAGACTGAATAGTTGTTTCCTAAGGATCAGACGATGGCTGGCTGGACAGGTGAGCAACAGAAATGCTTCCCTTGGAACAGGGACCCAGGAGAGCCTGGCGGAGAAGGAGCTCCAGCTTCTGGTCATGATCCATCAGCTGTCCACCCTGCGGGACCAGCTCCTGACCGCCCACTCGGAGCAGAAGAACATGGCTGCCATGCTGTTCGAGAAACAGCAGCAGCAGATGGAGCTGGCCCGGCAGCAGCAGGAGCAGGTAGGCCTGCTCGGTGTGGCTTCCTTTCCAGGGGGCGGGACTCTCAGGGCCTAGAGGGGAGCACCTTGGCGGCAGGCTTTGCCAGTGTGGCCCCAGCGGGTGGGCAGGAGGGGGCGAAGGCTCGGGGGGGAGGGGGCGGTGGGCCAGGGCTGAGGGAGTCCCCCGTGGCTATTCGTAAGCCAGGTGGGGAGGGGATGTTGAAGGGTCCTGCCCAGCCCCCATCCCTGGCCTCTGGGGGAAGGAGAATAAATGCTGTGGGTTGGCAGTTCTGCTTCTTGCCCGCTCAGCTCTCCTCCGTGTCTGCGCTCTTGGAAGGCTGGGTGTAGTGGGACCTGGGGCCCGAGCCCACGCCCCCTTTGCCTCCTCTTCCCTCTGCCAGATCGCGAAGCAGCAGCAACAGCTAATTCAGCAGCAGCACAAAATCAATGTCCTTCAGCAGCAGATCCAGGTGATGAGAGGGGCGGGTGGGCGATGGGGGAGCTGGAGCTGAGGGTCTGGCATCTGCCGGGAGAGGGGCTGGGACATGGAGGGACAGGCAGGGTCCTTCAGACGTGACCCTGAGGAGGGGGCTCAGTCCCCTCCCCTCCCTTCCCCCATCTTCTTCCTCTGTTTCAAGGGAGGGGCTCAGAATATCTTCCATCTTCCTGCCAGCTGGGACCGAGGGCAGGTAGACAGCCCACGGAGGTGGCACGGGTCAGATAGATCCTTCGGAAGCCAGTCCCTGCCCCAGGCCCGGCGCCTCTCCGCCCCGTCTATCCTCTGTCCAGGGCCGACCAGCCGCTTGGGCCTCCGGGGCACTCACACAGGGTTTCTTTGCTCTCAGCAGGTCAATATGCCTTATGTCATGATCCCAGCCTTCCCCCCAAGCCACCAGCCTCTCCCTGTCACCCCCGACTCCCAGCTGGCTTTGCCCATCCAGCCAATCCCTTGCAAACCAGGTGAGTGTGGAGGGGAGGTCCCTGAGGGGCGGGGGGAGGTCCCGAACCACTCCATCCATGAACTTGGAGTGTAGTCTTTCTCGGCCTCGCCCAGTGGGAGGAGAATCCCTTGTTTCTGAATGTCACTGGGAGAATGAAAACTAGTACATTGGAAACCACAAGTGCTTTGCTTTCCACATTTAGCAGATCTTGCTCTAGTCTCCCCAGTTCTGTTACATTTACTGCACCAGAAAATTAATATCTTAAACGTTAACTCTGAGCCTCCGTCCATGTACGTCTCCCAAATGTATGCTTTTGTTCTCGCCTGGCCTCGTCACTCTCGCGCTCTGCCCTGTCCCTGAAACACCGACCGCATCAGGCGCTGTGTGGTTGTCGGATGGCCATGGGGGACACGGCGTGGACTTGGAGCTCAAGGAATTTAGTCTGGGGAGGGAGGGAGAAGTTTGCCAGCAACCAGGGGATCTGGGAAGGTGTCTTGAGGAGCTGGCGCTTGCCTGGGTCCTGGGAGAGTGGACTGTGAGGGTGGAGTGGGAGCTGAGGGTGGAGGGCACGGGCGAGGCGGTGCAGGCAGAGGCCCTGGAACAGAGGCGAGTGTGTGACCGGGTGGCGGGGACTTGCTGGGGAGGCAGTGGGACTGAGCGTGGGTTGGCTCTATTTTGTAGGCTGGGGGTGTGCTTGAACCCTTAGTAGAGGATGTGTTGTCGTGCTGGCTGTGGGGGACAGGGCATGGAGGGGACCCCCTGAAGGTAGAACACCAGTAGGCGGCTGCTGAGGGGACTCCAGCACTAGCAGGTGACAGCCTGACCGAGAGCAGTGACGGTGGGACAGAGGCAGCAATAGAAGTATTAGGCCACGATTATGGATTCCTTGTGGGTGGTCATGGGCAGGGCAGAAATCTGTATGCTGCCTGTAATGGCCCAGGAAGGGGAGTAGCTTTTACGTCAACTCCGGCCACCCTCCCTGTTCCGGGGAGTCCAACAGGTTCCCCACCACGCCTCTGGCCATGGGCACAGCTCCTGTTAGCCCCACGGACCCTGCCTTGAGGGAAGATTCCAGTAGGCTGGGGGGAGGCTGGAAGCAGGAGAGGGGGAGGGGAGGGGAGGGCAGCAGCACAAACCATGGCCATTCCAGGTGAACATAGAGCAGAGCCGCAGGGGTGAGGAGGGCAGGGGCCTGCTCAGGGGAGGGGCCACATACTTTCTGGACAAGGGAGGCATGAAATAAGCTGAGGAAGACCTGGACTGGCCAGGCTGCCACCTGCCTCGTTTGCTCCAGAATTCTAGCAGGGGGGAGGAGGGCGCAGGGGTGAGGAGGGCAGGGGCCTGCTCAGGGGAGGGGCCACATACTTTCTGGACAAGGGAGGCATGAACTAAGCTGAGGAAGACCTGGAGTGGCCAGGCTGCCACCTGCCTCGTTTGCTTCAGAATTCTAGTAAGGAGGGGGCCTGCAGGCCGACACATGCCCCTTCCCAGAGCCCCATCGCCTATAGTATGGGGTCCGAGCTCCAGAGCTAGGCCTTCACAAGCCCACCTTGCCCACCCTGTGCCCACCTCACTGCCCACATCCTGCTCTCATCCACCGCCACTTCAGCTCCCCGCGCGCCTGCCAGCGTCAGCTCACGTCTCAGCGCCCCCCAGGAAGCCTGCTCCAGTCCCTCCATCTGGAACAAAGTTCTCTCGAATGCTAGCTACTCCACCCAAATGACCCTGGGCCGTGTGGTTAGTGATTTGTATGCATGGCGCTCTCTCCATCTGAACTGTCAACTCCTTGATTCTGGGCCTGGCTGAGGAGGCTGAGGTAGACGAGGAAGAAGAGAGTGCCGTGCAGAGGGGAGAGGACAGGCTGAGGACCCGGGTGTAAATGTCAGTGCTCCCATTGACAGGAGCCCATTAACTCCTCCAGGTCTCTGTTCCCTTATCTGTAAAATGGGATCATGCCTTGAGCACCTATTATATACTGCACAGTAAGGATTATTGTGAGAGAATGCACAGGAGACAGGCTACACAACAGGTAGCTGCTTGTGTACCCTGCACACAGTAGGTCCAAAAGACAAGTGTCTGTAGAGTGAGTAGACGGTGTCCTGTTCTCGTTTCACCGTAGGCTTGGAACCCAGGCCCCGTGGCTGGGAAGGGCAGGACAGGTGATGATGCCTGTTGGCGAGCAGGCAGTGGTGGGGAGGGCTCAGGAGGTCCTTCGCAGCACCTCGGGCCTGGGGCGCAGTGGTTGGAAGCAAGCAGGGCCAGCTCCGAGCCTCGTGCGCTTCGTGCTGCTGGGACCTCGCCAAGCTGTCTATGCTCATCCTGCACTTTTCTCCTTGTGCCTTCTCCACAGTGGAATATCCGCTCCAGCTGCTGCACAGCCCCCAGGCCCCGGCTGTGAAGAGGCCTGGGGCCATGGCCGCCCACCACCCGTTGCAGGTACCGTTCCGCCCACTCCCCAGCCGGGCTGGTCTGCTGGCTGGCTGCCGCCTTGGCTGTTCTGGGCATGCTTATCCTCTGTCTGTCTGCGGGGGCCTCCCTGTGTCTCTCACCCTCTGCCTCTGGGTCTCCCTTAGGAACCCTCCCAGCCCCTGAACCTCACAGCCAAGCCCAAGGTCCTCGAGCTGCCCAACACCTCTAGCTCCCCCAGCTTGAAGATGAGCAACTGTGGACCCCGCCCCCCCAGCCATGGGGCTCCCACACGGGACCTGCAGTCCAGCCCCCCCAGCCTGCCTTTGGGTAAGCTTCCTACCTCCTGTACCTTTCCCTTAGCCCTCATCTAGGGGAGAGTATAGAGTGTGATATGACCTTGGGAATGACCTTTCCCCTCTAGGTTAGACTTGCTCTGTCTGGTCGGCCCCTTTTAGTTCCTTCCCCCCACCCCCACCATATCTGCCTGGCACCCTGGCCTCAGGTGGTTCAGGCCCCTGGGTTGCACAGTCTCAGGGCGTACTATCCTTACTTCCAGTCTACGGACCCCACAGCCAGTGTAAATGGCACCCCCTTGAGGATGTGCAGTGCAACAGCCCTGGGAAGGGGCCAGAGGGAGCACAGGAGGGGCATGGCATGGGGCGAGCCCTCAACTCCTCTCCCCTGTCCCTTCTCTTCCTGCCCCATAGGCTTCCTCGGTGAAGGGGACGCTGTCACCAAGGCCATCCAGGATGCTCGGCAGCTGCTGCACAGCCACAGCGGGGCCTTGGACAGCTCCCCCAGCACGCCCTTCCGGAAGGTATGGGCCCCCACTCCCCTGTGCCTGGCACAGGGGCGGAAGGCAGGGCTGGAGGCCACCAAAGGGAGAGGTGGGGGAGGGGAGTGGGGTGACAGAGGGAGGCTGATGTGCAGGTTGTCCCGTCAATCCCAGGACCTCATCAGCCTGGACATGTCCCCAGTCAAGGAGCGACTGGAGGAGACCTGTGTGCACCCACTGGAGGAAGTCATGCTGGGCTGCGACGTGGACGGTGAGGCTCTGGACCCTGAGCTGGGGGGCAGGAGGGCCCGCCTCTGCTTCCCACCAGGGCCAGAGTGGGCAGGTCATGTCTGTGGGGTCCCGTATGTATCTGTCTGTCCTTGGGCCCCTGGCCTGGCCTCTGCTGGGTGCTGTGGGAGCCCCTGGCGCGCCCTAGTGGTGAACTATGGGGTGCTCTTTCTGCTGGCCCCGAGACTGCCCTTCCCTATTCCTGCTGCCCCGCTGACTGCGCCCCTGTCCCCCAGGCTCCCGCCACTTCCCCGAGTCCCGGAACAGCAGCCACATCAAGAGGCCCATGAACGCCTTCATGGTGTGGGCCAAGGACGAGCGCAGGAAGATCCTGCAGGCCTTCCCGGACATGCACAACTCCAGCATCAGCAAGATCCTCGGTGAGGGCGGGGTCTGCGGAGCTCGGGGTCCCGGAGCCACAGGCCAGTGGGACAGGGTGGCGGGGGCCTCCTGGATCCACTTGGGGCTTGCGTGGTGACAGTCCACACCGTGTTGAACTCTGGTGGAATCTGATGGGGTGTGGGAGTCAGGCGGGAAGTGGGACAGCTGGGCCCTGGGGTCTTAAACCATTTAAAAAAATATATAAGCTTTTTATTGATTTCAGAGAGAGGAAGGGAGAGGGGGAGAGAGATGGTTGAAAAAACCATTGATTGGCTGCCTTCTGCACACCCCCTACTGGGGATTGAGCCCATAACCCAGGCATGTGCTCTCACTGGGAATTGAACTGTGATCTCCTGGTTCATAGGTTAATGCTCAACCACTGAGCCACACTGGCTGGGCAGTAGAAAGCGTTAAATGAGGTTTCCTGATCGGAGGCCAAGGTGGGGTGTAGGGTGGGGCAGGTGGGGTGAGAAGAGGGCAGTTGTTTTCAAGACAGAAGCCCCTTCAGTGTCTATTCCGGTCTCCTGTGAGCACAGACACCAGATACTCTGTCCTGAGCAGGGCGCCTGTTTATTGGGGGCCTGCGGTAGCTGCTCTTTTGTTTATGCAAATCCTGCAGACAAGAGGCCTCCCTCCCCGAAGTTGCTGGGTAGGTAGGAATGTGTGTGGGTGCTGTACCTTAAACTGACAGTTGGATGCCCATATACATGCCAACTTCATTCATTCATTTGCTCGAAGTCCAAGGAGCAGCCAAGTGCTTTCACATGTATCTGGGAATCAAAACCTTCCTGGCACCTCCGGGGCCTGCAGGGGGCTGGGGGTGGTCGGCAGAGCCCAGCGCTGACTGCCTGTCCCCGGGGCTGGGCCAGGGTCCCGCTGGAAGTCCATGACCAACCAGGAGAAGCAGCCCTACTACGAGGAGCAGGCCCGGCTGAGCCGGCAGCACCTGGAGAAGTACCCCGACTACAAGTACAAGCCGCGGCCCAAGCGCACGTGCATCGTGGAGGGCAAACGGCTGCGGGTGGGCGAGTACAAGGCCCTGATGAGGACCCGGCGCCAGGATGCCCGCCAGAGCTACCTGACCCCGTGAGCTGGCCCTCTCCCCAGCGGCTGAGACCGTGTGCGTGTGCATGTGTGTGTGTGTATGTGTGCACGTGTGCTGCTCTTGTGAGTGGCTGGGCGTTGATGTGTGACTTGCCTTTGTGACTACATGTGCCTCTCTATTGGCTGTGCGCATAGGTGTGTGTGTGTGTGGCTGGGGCTCCGTGTGTGGCTGCAGGGGCAGCTGTGTGGCGGGAACCTAGTGGCCCAGGATGTACATTTGTGACTGAGTGTGGGGCACTGGCATGCACCTGGAGAAATTGAGCCCATAACCCAGGCATGTGCTCTCACTGGGAATTGAACTGTGATCTCCTGGTTCATAGGTTAATGCTCAACCACTGAGCCACACTGGCTGGGCAGTAGAAAGCGTTAAATGAGGTTTCCTGATCGGAGGCCAAGGTGGGGTGTAGGGTGGGGCAGGTGGGGTGAGAAGAGGGCAGTTGTTTTCAAGACAGAAGCCCCTTCAGTGTCTATTCCGGTCTCCTGTGAGCACAGACACCAGATACTCTGTCCTGAGCAGGGCGCCTGTTTATTGGGGGCCTGCGGTAGCTGCTCTTTTGTTTATGCAAATCCTGCAGACAAGAGGCCTCCCTCCCCGAAGTTGCTGGGTAGGTAGGAATGTGTGTGGGTGCTGTACCTTAAACTGACAGTTGGATGCCCATATACATGCCAACTTCATTCATTCATTTGCTCGAAGTCCAAGGAGCAGCCAAGTGCTTTCACATGTATCTGGGAATCAAAACCTTCCTGGCACCTCCGGGGCCTGCAGGGGGCTGGGGGTGGTCGGCAGAGCCCAGCGCTGACTGCCTGTCCCCGGGGCTGGGCCAGGGTCCCGCTGGAAGTCCATGACCAACCAGGAGAAGCAGCCCTACTACGAGGAGCAGGCCCGGCTGAGCCGGCAGCACCTGGAGAAGTACCCCGACTACAAGTACAAGCCGCGGCCCAAGCGCACGTGCATCGTGGAGGGCAAACGGCTGCGGGTGGGCGAGTACAAGGCCCTGATGAGGACCCGGCGCCAGGATGCCCGCCAGAGCTACCTGACCCCGTGAGCTGGCCCTCTCCCCAGCGGCTGAGACCGTGTGCGTGTGCATGTGTGTGTGTGTATGTGTGCACGTGTGCTGCTCTTGTGAGTGGCTGGGCGTTGATGTGTGACTTGCCTTTGTGACTACATGTGCCTCTCTATTGGCTGTGCGCATAGGTGTGTGTGTGTGTGGCTGGGGCTCCGTGTGTGGCTGCAGGGGCAGCTGTGTGGCGGGAACCTAGTGGCCCAGGATGTACATTTGTGACTGAGTGTGGGGCACTGGCATGCACCTGGAGAAATGTGCCTGTGGATCCCATTTCTGACAAACTCAGTAAATATTCAGGGGTGCTATTCCTGACGTGACCAAAGCAAGCATTTAAACACAGTTTCCAAAAGTGGGGCTCAAGCACAGTCCTCCAGGAATCTCTTGAACACGCCCATGACCTGAGACTCCATGTGCGTGCGGGGCTGTCGCTGACAATGAATGTAGCCAGCAGATGGGGGCGGGGTGGGGAGTGAGAGGGCATGGCCTGAGGAGGCCTGGAGGGGAGCAGGTGGCGGGAGGTGAAGATGCCGAGTAACCCGCCTCTTGTCTGCCCTGAAGCTCGCAGGCAGACCAGGTGCAGATGAGCGCCCCGGAAGTGCTGTACCCTCGGGTGGCACAGCCCCCGGTGGAGCACTATGTGCCCCGAAGCCTGGACCCCAGCATGCCTGTCATCGTGAACACCTGCAGCCTCAGGGAGGAGGCCGAGGCCACGGAGGACAGGCACTCGGTGGCCGACGGGGAGATGTACCGGTACAGCGAGGACGAGGACTCGGAGGGCGAGGAGAAGAGCGACGGGGAGCTGGTGGTGCTCACAGACTGATCTGGGAAGACCTGGCCTCGGGCAGGGGGCAAAGCCAGCTCACCTGGACTCTGTTGGTACTTGGACTTGGGTGGCTGGACTTGGGTGTCCTTGTAGACACGGGCCCCCTCCCCACCACGCCTGCTGGCATGGCCACATGGCAGGGCCTGCATGGTGGTGATGGCTGAGCTCCTTGGTCTTCGGGGCTCATGGCCAGGGGACACTGTAGGACCCTCCCCCCCCCCGGCAGGTCTACCCCCCTGGGGGCATGGCAGCTTCAGACCCACCTCCCTGGAGCCACACGCTTCGTTTCCATTCTTGTCCTGGCTGGCCCAGCCCCCATGGGACCAACACCCCTCACGCCCCTCCACGTGCACACACGGCTCCTCTCTCACCAGGATCCCTTTGCACTCGTGCAAAAAGGTCTGGCTGTCCCTCTCTGTTTCATCGCCGCCAAGCCTGGTGCGCCTCTGGCTGCTGCGCGTGTGCACGCGTCTTCACCGTCATTCACTGCATATTTATTGAGTGCCCACTATGTGCCAGGCACTGTTGCTGAGTTCCTGTGTGTCCCTGGATGCTGTCTTGCTTCTCTGGGGGCCGCTTTCTGAGCTCTCTCTGTCCCCAAATTGCTACCTCTGTCAGTCTGGGTGTCTCAGGTTCTGTGCATCCTTGTGTGCGTTTCTCTGTCCCGTCTCTGCAGGGCCCTGTGTCTCTCTCCCCTCCTGGTGTCTGACTGCCGCTCTGCCCTGGTCACTCTGGGTCTCTGAAGGGCCCTGGGCCACCCTGGCCTCCCTGCCCCCCCTTTCACCCCCTCCCTGACTTGCTGGTGGGTCCCCACAGCCATTGTCCGTTCCCAGCAGCATGGGATGTGCTCGGCCTCCAAGGAGCTCCGTCCTGGTGGCCCAGACCCTGGCCCCATCCCAGTGCCAGGAGTGGGAGCAGGAGGACGGGTGGCGCCCCCTTCCTGTCAGTGACGAAAGCCCTGGAGAGCCGGCTCCCTCGGCACTGGTCTCCATCCCTCCCACACAGCTCTGCCCGCACCCTGCCTGCTCCTCCTCTACACCGGGGACCTGCCTCTGCTCCTGATCACCTCACAAGTTATTTCCTTAAGGAAATTAAGTCTCTTTGGAATGACTCCAAAGATCCAGGTGGGTCTGAGTAGGAAGGGAACCCCAAATCCCACAGGGGCAGGTGTGGAGTCTGTGCCTACCCTCATCTGCTCCCCAAAGCCCAACTTCTCTCCAGGCTGTTTCTTTTTTTATGACTGTAAACATAGTGCTTTATTTTGTTAATAATAAGATAATGATGAGTAACTTAACCAGCACATTTCTCCTGTTTACACTCGGGAATTTTTTGTTTTCTGTTGGTATAATAAAGGCGGACCATTTCAGAATCACGGGCCCTTGCACAAGGGAGCAGGGAGGCACCAGCTCAGGCACCACTGCCCCCTCGTGGCAGCTCGAGGGACCTCCAGGCGTTGGGCGGAGAGAAAACAGCCCCAGCAAGTAAGGGAGGCTCAGGCTCAACGCTCC